CGGCTCTGGCACCGCTCCCAAATTGTTGCTGAAGTCAGCTGCCGCTGTAGAGCGGGTCCTGAGCCTGGTCAGAATGTGTGCTTACTTCTCAGTAGTTCTACTTGGGTATTTATTCTGTGTCTCTCTGGTTACCGTAGGAGTAATTATTTTTTTAATTTCTTCGTTGTCTAGGATATGAAGGTGAACACAGCACAGTTCATGGCGCTCTATGCCTGGTATTCCTGGCCCAACGTGGTTCTTTGCTTCTTTGGAGGTTTTCTGATAGACAGAGTATTTGGAATACGGTAAGTGTGGCATTGATATCATCCATGGTCAACAGATGGTGGAGGTAAAGCGCACGTGCAACTTGTTAGTTGATAGTACGACTTTTTCAAATCCTTTTCATATGATTTAGGAATGTCCACTGGTATAAATGAGCTTCCTACCCTTTATGGCTTTGTGGCTTAAAAAATGCCAGTCTGTGGCACCTTTTTTGAACGAAGCTGTCAAGCTATGCCACTTATTATAGAAAGCTTTTACTGCATATCAATATCCACTTTTTTCCTCGCTGTAGGCCTAATACAGTGTTTTATAGGAAAAAAAGGTTCGAGCTATGCATTAAGTAGTTTTATTTTTCTTACAGGTTGGGCACCATAATATTTAGTATCTTTGTTTGTGTGGGACAGGTAAGTGCACATAAGAGGGTGAAGGATGGTATGTGTCGGAAGCATCTCTAGTAGGGGTGGGGTGGGGAAAAAAGCCCAAATGGCTTCTCGCTTGGTAGTGTATATTTGAGATGGAAGTAGGCAGGTGAAGAGAACTGAAATGGGAGACCCATGAATTGTACTGGGGTAACTGGGAACTGAGGACCTCAAAGCATGAGTGAAATAAGAATGTGAAGGAACTAAATGTTTTATTGGTTTGATGTGAAACTAGCGTGTAGGTGCATTTGGGCAGGGTAAGATGATAGAGCTGAAGCATGACTTGAGCCTCTAGAAGTGTTCCCTGAGTGCAGTTTCAGGGTGGGCCAGGTTGGATGTTGTGTAGCCAGCACATGCATAAGGTGGAGGAAGAAAAGGCAAAAAGCTCGGAGTAGGAAGCAGGCTTGAAGTATTTCTACAGGTCTGGGAAGGGAAAAGCATTTTTGTTTCCATTTTGAGATAGTTCTAGTTTGTTTCATACTGCAAATGTAAAACTTTAGTTTTTCCCTATATGTTTATCTGTCAGGTGATTTTTGCTTTGGGAGCACTACTTAATACTTTCTGGCTGATGGATGTGGGCAGATTCATATTTGGGTAAGTCTAGAAGACTCTGAGGTAAGAACCCTCTTTCCGTGTCCTAGAAAACAGCTACCGTGTTTACACTTAGCGACACGCTGTTTGGATGTTGAGGCATGCAAGATCTTCAGTCGCATTCCCAGTCAAAGTTAGAAAACAAAAAATAGGACTTTTCAGGTCTTGCTGAATTCAGAAATTATTAAACTACTCAAATTTAAAGACATTCAGCAAGCTAATAAAACTGTGTTAGTCCTCCTTTTCTCTTAATTCTTACTTTCCTGAGTAAAAAGGATTCTTAGCAACAACGAATAGAACAGGGTTCCTACAGTAGCAAAAAATGAGAGCAAATATCAGAAGAAATACCTCCAAATTGTGAGTGTGCCACAGCATGAAAATGTTAGAAAATCTGACCAACTGTTTTGGGGGGTGGGCAGATGACTCCATTAAATTCTGGTTCCAGGTAAGATGCCTGCTTTGGTTTCCTTTGGGTCAAGATCTATACTGCTTGGCTCTTTAATGCAGAAGAGAACTGAGAAGCTTCTGCCCATTGATTTAATTTCTGTAAATTGGACCACTTCCTTGTTTCTTTGTGTGTTGCAATTAATGTGTTTTGTTTTGTGCCTTCCTTCTTTTTTAGAATAGGTGGAGAGTCCTTAGCAGTGGCACAAAACACGTATGCAGTCAGTTGGTTTAAAGGGAAGGAGTTAAATCTTGTGTTTGGATTGCAACTAAGCATGGCCAGAATTGTAAGTGTAAAGCTGTATGGCTTTAATTCATAGAATTTAAGGTGTGTGGCTGGTCTTAGCAGTGACAGAGGTGGAAGGCAGCATTTCTAATTCTCCCTCGGGTGTGAAATTTAAATTTAAAATTTTAAAAATTTGAGGTAAATAGGCAAAGGATACACAAGGAAATGGGTTAATGAGGTTTCTTAGCACCTGTCAAACTTCTGAAGAAGCTTGGTGGTGTTATTAGTGTAGATTACTGGGTGGGACAGTCACAGGGCTGCGTTTCATCAGACTGTTTTGATTCTTGGCATATCATAACTGAGTGTAGCTTGTGGCTCAGGGACTAAGCACAGGCTCTGATAAATGAGTTGGGATGGCTGCTTTAAGGAACTCCCATCCTTATCTGCTGTTGTAAGGTGGTTTTGTCCCTGTTGCTGGTTCTGGTAGGAATGGTGTGACTGCATCTCAGCTGTGCCATCTGTTTGATGTAATCACTCAAACTGCTGCTAGAGGTGGATTTACACTCGTACACCAGTCTGGGAGTGAAGAGAATGGAGACATGCCTCTCCTGTTAGGTGTCCCCCTCAGCAGGCCATGGTACCTTAAGCCACTGCAGGTACTTACCTGGGTAAAAGAGAGGAAGCTGGTCACAGCTGGGTCTGGGTTGATGTTCAGGCTGGTGGTAATTAGCAGTTGCCTTCTCTCAGCTGAACTGTAGCTAACTGGCTGTTGTGAGCCTTGGGATTGTAGCCAGGGATCCCTTCTCTAGGGGTAGAAGGAAAAAAAAAAAGTGCTTTTTCCTGATGCCTCTCTGGTGGGAATCCTGTTTGCTTTAACATGTGGTATTAAATTAATCTCGATTTATGATCTCATGCAGTGTATGATGTGGATTTTATGGCACTTCTAATGTCTTCATCAAAACACTGTTAGAGTTGTATAAAATTTCAATTTGTGATGGTGTATTATTGTTGCAATGGTTAATTATTACAAACACTGATCAAACCAGCAGGGTATAATTTTATTGTTGTTGCTGGTGGTTTATGTTCCCTGTGTAGCATCTTACCTGTTTGCTTTAAATGCTGCTCAGTAAGCAGACTGCCCAGTGTTCCTTCTGAATTCATGTAATGGTGAAATATGTTATTCTTCACATGAGTCTGTTCTGCCTAGGGGAGTACAGTGAACATGAATATCATGGGATGGATATACTCGGGAGTTCGAGATCTTCTGGGGTATACTGGTCCCAGTACTCTTGGGTTAAGTCTCATGATAGGTCAGTAATATTTTGAATTGATGTCACCTGCTACTTTAGGCTTCTGAATTTGAACAGCATGCATACATGTTAATGATTTCTTACTGGCTTAGAAGTAGGACGAATACGTTTGAGACTAGGAAGAGCAATTCAAGTACTGTTTGTATCAATGGCTAATATTCTTATGCAGAATGTATGACTGCTGCATCTGATAAAATGCTGTGTGATTTTTTTTCTTTGTGCATGTGGTTGCCAAACTCAAGTTTGTATCTTATGAAGATGAAACATTTAACATACTTTGAGTAAAGGACAGACTTTAAAAATTTTCTGAGGGGTATTGTGTCAAAGCTTGCATGTAGTTGTCTGATGTGTAAAAGTGAAATTTCAGCTACCTTTGGATCTGTGTTCCTTTCCTTCAGAGCCATGGGTGTTAAGGCCCTGGTGCTGGTAACAACGTCCAGGCTTTGTTTCTGTTATTATGAGGTCCAGATAAGCAGCTCGTGGGAGTGGTAGTAATGTTTTAAATAAAATAAATCTAGCTACATTTTTGTATTCCAGTTCAAGGCAGATGTCTCTCATGTGGCAGGATACAGTATTTATACCTTATTCTTTGAGCTATACAGCTATTGAGTCTTGCACATAAGACCAGCTGGTGTTAAACTTATTTTGTATTAGATATGCAAAGGTATGCTGTACTAGTTGTGCTTAAAAGCCAAGTTTCTACTTGAGTCAACAACTAAACATGTTGCATTGCCTTCTTGCAGGTGGTGTAACTTGTCTCTTCTCACTGGCCTGTGCATTAATCCTGGCTTATCTGGACAAGAGAGCAGAGAAGCTCCTTTGTAAAGAACAAGGGAAAACAGGTGAGTGGTGCAGGTGGCATGGCTGAACCTGCCTTGGGCTTCATTCATTTATTCTGGAGCAGACTCTGTGCACTGTGCGGGTTTGAGTTTTATGTAATTCAGTGGCTGCTGCTCAACATCTTTTTCACAGTTAGAGCTCTAATCATAATTTTCAGTTCATTTTTGTATCATTAGGAAATTTTACAGTTTTAAACACCAGTTTACAGGCAGATGTGCTGTCATCTGCTTTACTTACAAAGAGTGTGAAGAGCCCCCAGTTCACACCCGCTTGATCTGTGCCGTTGCCACTGGTACTTTGTTTTGTTGGAGCTTGTCTTATTTCCTTTAGTTGGCGTGGAAAAACTCTCCTCCATCAGTGTGTGGTGTTTTGAGTTTTCCTTGTGGGACCAATTAAAAATAAACTATAATTTGAGATCCATGTAAGAGCATATAACGTGAGGCTTCAGACATGAGTGTTGCTAGCTGATGAAACATTTCCTTGGAAATATAGTTTGTATTTAATTCTGCTGCGTAAGACTTTCAGAGGCTTCAGAGAACTTGTACATCCAGCTTAATGTGAGAGAGAGAATTTATTCTTGACTTTGTCACTGTTGATTTAGGACTTGTATATACTTAACTGACTTTCACTGTGTAAACCTTAGACAAGAGAGTAGGTTGGGACAGGAATATATGCTTTAGTAGTGACTTGAGGTAACTGAGTTTATTCAGGGTGCATGAATTTCAGATATGCTTATGCTGACTGAAATAACATTGTTTTGCCCCACTGCAGGTGAAGTGATTAAGCTAACTGATGTGAAGGACTTCTCCCTGTCCTTGTGGCTTATATTTGTAATCTGTGTCTGTTACTATGCAGCAGTTTTTCCTTTCATTGGACTTGGAAAGTAAGTGTCTCACACAGCTGTTCCCCTTGATTTGGCTAGGGTGGTAACTAGATACTTACAAAGGGAGAGGTGCAGGCTAAGATTTAAGAATCCCAGATGGCTACAGAACCACTGATCTCCCAGCAAGTCTGTGCTGTGGTTTGTCCCGTCTGTGGCGTTGTTTGCTATACTTGTGTTACAAATTAACACAACTCTTATAGTTTCCTTATCTGCTGAGCTTTGTGGGAAGTACCACTGCTTGGCATAGACTGAGTTTTCAGAACTCAAAAGCGTAATGCATGCTCTGTTTCCTGATTAAAACTTGATATAGATGTAAAGCGTGGCATGAGTTTTGGTGTGGAAAGCTGTCATGTAGAATTCCTTCCATGCTCATAAGCTGTTGACTGAGTGCGAGATGGAGGCAGAAATGTAGTTACAACTTTGGACTAAAGTTCTCTTGCTGTGCTGAGTTTGGTATAGATAAAATTGAAACTTGAAGCATTTCTATGTAGATTTCCCTTTTGAACCACAGGACTCAATCGAATAGCTCAATCAAAAGGGTTTTTAATACACTTTGAGTTAGAAACAGATTTCAATGCGTGTTTTATGTTGAGTGAGCTGGAAAAGCCTGAGATGACTTGGAGAGGCCTTACAGTCAGCAGCACAGATACCTGGTTTTTGCTTGTGCATGTGTTCTAAAAATTCTCGGTTTGGTCTCTTACAGAATGCTCATTGCTAATGTCTCATGGTTGGGTTACATGTTGGTTATGTACTTTGGATGTTTTTTCCCCAAAGTGTAATTTGAATAGTCCTTGAAAAAAAAAAATTTGTAGAGTCTGATAATGAGCTCCTGAATGCATTATAAATGAGGATCTGTGATAGGATGTTTATGTCAAAGCTATATGTCAATATTTGAAAGTTTTCTGTAAACTAGGTTCTTGTGTCTTTGCTTTGTCTAGATTACTTTTTTCATATCACACAAGTGTGTATCTTTCTAAATCTGTTGCTTTTATTCTTTAGGGTTTTCTTTATTGAGAAATTCAATTTCTCATCTCAAGAAGCAAGTGCAATTAACAGGTATATTGTGATAGATTTAACAAGTAAATGTGCTACTGCTGTGTTAGGACTGTGTGTGTCTTTGGGCTCTGACCATGTGGGAGGAAGTTTGGGATCTACTGTTGTGGGTGGTGACTTGCATTTAAGTGGACAGATGGATTTCACATGGCCCAGGGAATAATTGGGAGGTGTGGGTATTTGTTTAAATAAAAATGTCTGACATGTTCACATCAACGAATGAAAGAAAAGGCTCTGTCTGAAGGGTGTTGTTTTTGGTGTTCAGTGATTCTCTTCTGAGTGATAGAAGCAATTTAATAGCAACACTAAATGAACTAAATTTTCCTAGTTTGAAGATGAATTTGTGATGTGGCAAAAAAACACAAAACATGTGAAAACCAAACACTTGCTGGTATATGCTTCCAAGAGCTCTCAGTATGTCCCTATTTCCTTGGATGCTGAACGTTTTCATGTCCTTCGACCTTTTGGGAATTTTGAATTGTGGAGTCTGTTGTTTGGGTGGTTTTTTGTGTGGTTTTTCTTATGGCCTGACAGATAACAAGGGCATATGGTGTTTTGTCTGGAGACACTTGTATAACAGCTAAAGCTGTCCATGGCTAGATAGTGTTCAGTTCTCTTATTTTTATTCTTTTGTAGTATTGTGTATATCATATCAGCACCCATGTCCCCGGTCTTTGGACTCCTGGTGGATAAACTTGGGAAGAATATCGTCTGGGTTTTATGTGCTGTAATAACTACACTTGCTTCTCATATTATGTTGGCTTTTACCTTCTGGAACCCCTGGATAGCAATGGTAACTAATTTTCTGAGACTTACAGCTAAATATTGTAAAATCACAAAATGGAGTTGATGAATTATTCTTCATAAGGTACCCCTGTCTCCTGACTGTTTAGGTAGTTGTCAAAACCTGTTCACATATCCCTGAGTTTAAGAAGGATATATTATGTGAAATAGAGTTTAAGCTAAAGATGGTGAAAAAGCAAGGAATGCATAGTACAGGCAGAACTAATGTGAGCTATCTGTGGCCTAAAGATAACGTGTCAGGTTTTGGTGTTTTGTGGAGGGAGGCAGTAGTTATGCATGTGTGTTTTGAGGTGGAAAAGATTGGCTGCTGCTGTCTGTAGCAGTAATTCTGAGTTGTTTAGCACAAAAAGATGTTCAGATTCTTAGGAAGGATGGGCTTAGACTGGAGGGCTGTATGGAGTGACCATTCATGTCTCTTCAGAGATGGCTTTAATTCATCCCAGTGGTTCAGAGGTGCTGTGTGGCAGAGCTCTGCTCCCATGCTTCGTGGACACTCCTTACACGAGCTGTTTCTAAATTACTGTGCTAGGTGCTCGCTTTTTTCTAAAACTTGTTCTTTTGGTGTAGTTATGAAGCTTATTACTATCATAATTAAGCCACTATCAATGATTTTAAACTGTCTCTAATGTGCTGTATTAGATACTGGTAAACCTCAATAAAAATCTGTTATTAATTTCCCCTTCCTAGGGCAGATTCCCTGAGAAATTGCTTTTGGACTAAGGTTTACAGGCTTAAATACAGTGGTCACCAGTGCATCAGGGTTCAAATAAGGTCCTTACTTTTCAGGTGTTATTCTAGTGAGTTGCAGCATTGATCTTTTCCTCTGGATATTCAAATCTGGCTCTTAATGCTAATTAGATAGAGTTTGGTTTGTGGGTCCCTCCTGGAAGAATTTCCCTCTCCTTCTAAATGTGAATGTTTATTTAGAATGCTATTGCAAAAAGTGTTCCTTTAGCTCTTTTTCTCTTTTGGGAGAAGAGGTAAACCAGTATGTTAATTTATGAGCACTTTACAGCAAAAATGCATCTCACCTGACAGCTCCTCACTTGTTTTTATTTATTTCACCAGTGTTTGCTAGGAGTGGCCTACTCATTGCTGGCCTGTGCCCTGTGGCCCATGGTGGCCTTTGTTGTTCCAGAACACCAGCTGGGAACTGCTTATGGCTTGTAAGTATGCAGATCTGTCTGTTTGTGCTGCTCTGCAATGACCATGTCCTGATACCGAATGGCTGAGTATCGAGCAGTTCTAACACATTAATGGTTAATAATTCCTCCAAGTTCAGTCTAGCAGGAAGTTTCGTGTAGTTTCGGGATGTATATGTGTGGCAGATGCACAGAAACTTCTGCAAAAGTGTGGAGTCATGACTCTCACATGTCATAAGAAATGGGGGGAAGTTATTCTCATTGTTTGTTCAGTGCCACTGTTGGTGTTTTCTTTAAAAATGAAATTCTGTACAGTGGTAATCCTTTGTTTCTGTGTTAGTATGCAGTCTATCCAGAATCTTGGTCTGGCAGTTATTGCTATAGCAGCTGGGATGATTCTGGACACAAGAGGATACTTGTTTCTTGAAGTCTTCTTCAGTGCTTGTGTTTGCTGTAAGTATTAAAAACATCAAAAAATGGGTTCTGTACATTCAGGAAGCTTTGTTAGGCTTTTATCTTAATACTTCCTGTAAAACATTAATAAACTCTGTTCTTACCGTTAGAGGTTTCAGCTGGGGCAATGTTGAAAGTAACCTAGTGAAGTGTTTTGTGGTTTTCTTGAAGTGATTTAGTGGAAGTAGTTTCAGTGTTTTGAAAAAAGAGTGAGTAAAAGGGCAGGTGAATGATACTCTTAAAGGCTATGTTTATGAGGGCTGTTTATTAATAGAAGTAAAATGATAAATCACCTTTTCTGAGTTACCATGCTACTTACAAGCATAGTGGAATTTTAAAAAGTAATTAAGAGAATGTTGCTGGCAAAAATCTCCCCTCAGTTACAGCTATCATGAAAAATCTTGGTTGTTGCTTTGTATGTTAAAGCTGTTCTTCTGTCATTGTTGTAAATTTATTGTCAGCTAAAACCATTCCCTTTTTTTTTAGTGTCACTGGTAGCTGTAGTCATGCTGTATTTTGTGAATCACCTCACAGGTAAGTGTACTCAGCTTCTCTTGATATTTGTTTTTATTGTAATACTTGAAGTTATAAAGCTGAACTGTTCACAGGTGGTGGTGTGCAGGACTGTGTCGGGTGCTATGGCTTATGGATTTGGTACCAGGAGCATCTCTCAATGAGGCCTGTCCTTGCACCATCATCTTTGTGCAATTCCTTGAACCTTGCTTTGATGTTAAATCTCATCAGCAAGGCAGGGACACTGCCCCTTCAGCTGATTTGAACAAATGTGTGGGATATTCTGCAGCTTTTTCTGAACTGCTTATCAAACTTGACTGTATATGTATCTGCAAATATAAAAAATTAACTCAGTAGACTTTCCTTCAAATGACAGTGTTCTTTCTCTCAACTATTTTTTGAAGCAGTAACTACTGAAAGATCTGGAAGGGACATTAATTTGTTTCTTTCCTTTTGTAACATTACTCCATTGATTTTCTTTTGTCAAGTGCTCTGAGAATTTCTGTAGTGAGGTATGATATCAAAGATGTAATACAAGAAGAGCAATTTTAAAGTTTCAAAGTACGTATTATTTCTGTTGCAGGTGGTGATCTCAACTGGTCTGCAAAGAAAAGGGAAAAACTGCAGAAAGTAGCTGCAGCTGAGTAAGTATAATGTCCTTATGAAATGTTTAACCTGAAGTAATTAAGAAGATTACTGTCTGAACTCAGTCTCTTTTGTAGGTCTGCCATTTATATTAAATGTTATTTTCTTTCTTACAAGATAGTAGTAGGATTTCCTATTCCAGCCTCCTGAGAATAATTAGCGGAAGTGGCAATTAACCAGGTCTCCTTTCCTAGCACTCTTGCTTGCTGTTTCTCTTTATTAATTTTGGTAGCCTTCCAACTGAGTGGAACTGAAGTGTTGTTGCATTGCTTTTTAAAAAATGTGCTTCATTTATATGGTGCAAATATTACCTGGATTTAATGTCAGGTAATGCATGGACTTCTTTTTTTAAGCGTTATATTAAAAGCTAGATCTCTCTTCAGAAGAAACTGCACTCTGGTCGCTTCCCTGACAGTGTCAGCTTGTTCCTCTTGCTGTCTTATTTAGATGTCTTAATTCAACCTGTCTCTGAAAACTGTGGCTTGGGTCTAAATTGTGGTGCTAATGTGAAACTCAGTTTGTGGTCAGATCTGTGCCATGAATGATGACTGTGGTGAAAAGTTTCCATTTTTAGAAAGAAAATGAGACAAGGGTTTTTCAATAAAGTGGAATCAGTTTCCTTTCAAAGGAAATGCAGCAATTGAGGTGGGCTTCAGGCAGAAATGGTGGAAATAAGCAAATTTTGACAGTTCATCCAATTAAGCAAATTTCATTCTGCAGGAGACTTGAATGTCCTGTTTTCCTCTCTACAGAAAATAAGGACAGTGACACTCTTCAGAACAGTAACTTAGAAAGTACTCTTCCTTGCTCTTGGCAGATCGTTGGTGGCATGTTAAGGGCCCATTGCTGTGCATTGCCTTAACAGCTGGCACAGGGCACTCTTGCTTTTTAAGAGTGTTTGAGCAAACACAAAGGTAGCAGTCACCTGCCGGTGGAATATTCCCTGAGTTCTAGGGCACTGCACAGCAGACAATTTACTTTCTTGTTTGCTATCTGAGAATAAAAGGGGTAAAGCTCTTGGTGGATGTGGAGTACTGTACAAGAGAGACAAACAGTGGGTTAGTCTTAAAACTTTCAAAAGAATTGCCTTATACTGGGGGAAGAGGAGACAAAAAGCACTCTGTCAAAGTCTGTTAAGATATGTCACCTTAAAGGGAAAAAGACCCTTCCACTCCAGCTTCTCCATTATTTACTTAACTGTCTACAGAAATTGCTTTTTTTTTAAGTAGGCATAATGTAAAGTCTCTCCATCAGACTGGGTTTGGGCAGTTTATTTTGTCCTGACGACCTTGTTGAAGATGCTTCTTCTAGTAGTGTTTCAGCACCCAAAAATGGTGTTACCTTTTCCTCGTTCTAATTAGTGCTGTGAGGATTAAAAATATGTGCATTGGAGAATGTAATGTCAGTGGGGATTAAGTCTTGGTTAATTTATTGACTTTTAAAAATATATATTTAAAGCAAATGTTTAATTTGCTTAAGTGCAGGACAAACCTAAGAAATCTGAGGTTCTGCTCCTCCGGTCTGAATTTGTTGGTGAGATTAGAGAGGGCACAGTGTATGTGTTTCATGCCTCCACTCATAGTTTACCAATTGTCTCGTGAAAGAGCAAGTCAGTGTGCAGCAAGTCACAGCTTTCAAAATAGCATCTGTAGGATTCAAGCTGCTTATATGTGAGCAACAGATTTTTTTTTTTCATTTGAAATGCTTTCTGTTCTGACCTAATTCAGCTCAGTGAGTCTCTTCAGATCTTGGAGCTCACTTGCCTGTGATGTTGGTGGAATTCTTTACTTTTTAATAGGTAACTACATTTCACCTGCAGGTATTGTACATCTCAGCTTATATGTAAGTTTGTTACAGATAATTACTTTGCTAACAAGACAGCTCTTAAAAATGAACTTTATGGATTTCTCTAAAACTAGACATGTAACTGTCCATATGGTGGTATTTGGTTAGTCTTGAGAAAAGTGAAAATACCTGTCAATGAGGTCTAGCCAGGTGACTTGTGGTGGGGTGCAACATGGTTTTGATTCTTGTCCTGATTTCTGGGCTTGTTACACATCAGGAAAGCTCAAGGAAACTAAAAGCAGACCTGGTGAGCATGGTGGCTTAGTTGGGATGAGTTATCATCCTTGAGCCAAAAGGTCACAGACAATTTTTGATACAAATGTGACACGAAAACAACCTGTGCCCAGGAGCAAAAGAATTCTGTGCCCAGATAGGGCTGCTTTTCAGTCTGCCTGGCCCACGTGGGATGTGTGTAACACTTCCAGTATTTGCTGTGAAAGGGGACTTTGTGTATGCTGGGGGATAGTGTCTTAAAACAAATTTTCAGTAACTTTTATTACAATGTTTTTTGCAGAAAAGAAATTTGAATAGCAAATATCATCCAGAAGTGGGGAGCATTTGATCAGCATCATGTCAACTTGAAGAATTGTAGTGTTTTTTAGTTTGGTGGTCAGCACTGGACAGTAGTTCTTTGGAAAAGACACTAACATGCTGGGGATTTTACTGTAAATGGCTAAATTTTACACTTTGTAACCAGTTTTTTAACTCATGCCAAATCATCTCTTAATTTGAACAGAATGGGTTTACAGCAGTTTACACTGTGTTTAAACTCTCATTGGAGAGGGTACTCTGCAACCCAAGACAAACGTGTTCATCTTAGAAGACCCTTTATACTTGTCTTTATCTTATGTGCAGCACTACCAGCTTGATGGGGGTGGAGATCTCTTAACGTGGTGGCACTTTTGTGTTCTGTACTAAGGCTCGTTGCCTTACAGAGCTTGGAAATGGGTCACTGTTACTACCTTTGTCACTGTCTTAATGCGAACCACTGTCTTAAGTGTATTTAGCTCTGTTTGGTCCAGTTTCTCTAAAACGGATGTGGAAAATGAGCAGCAACGCTCTGGTCAAATATTGACTCTTTTGTGGGAGACTGCTATTAATTCTGAAGACTGCTGAGCAGTCTTTTATTTGCATTTTTGACAACAGATTCTTTTTGTATTGTAGTCTTTAAGGAATGAAAGCTTGTTTAATAATGAGATTGTTAGAAAAGCTCACTGAGCATGTTGTGATCTGTGAAAGCCTAAAGGTTTATCTTTCTACTGAAATCTTGCAATATAAATAAAAGGAAACTGCAGAAAACAGCCTCTCTCTTTCTTTACACTGAATTAGAGTAATCCATGTGCATCTCTTAGTCTCTTTTAATTTGATATCCAGTATTTATCTATAAACTTCGGAAGCATTTTGTGGTTATTAAAAAATAGAACAGCATACACAGGATAAAGTTGCTTGGGTTTGCACTCCTCGGTGCAAATGTCTTAAACCAATTTTCTTTTCCAGAGCAGAAGAACAAGAGAGACTCAGACGTCAAAATGAAGATGACTTGGCTAAATTACGGCCAAAAGCTGATGACTTTAGTTTAAGGAATAAATACCTCTCCAAACTAGGCGCTCAGGTATTAGTAACAAAGTAGAGGTTTTAGTAGCAAAGAATAAAACAATGAGATGTTTATTTTAAGAACTTGGCTTATTGTTCCAAATAGCCATCAAATCAACCGCTAACTAAAATGCCAAATGTATGCTTGTTCTCAGAAATGAAGTCTCACCGAGGTAATTAAAAATCTAATGAAGAAAATTAATCAATGGCTGGTGGACCAAAGAAATTGTGGAGCAGGCTTGTTATGATGCATGATTTTTTTAATTTTATTTTTTTTTGCAGCTACCAGATAATTACTCTACCTATTTATCGACAATGGTACACAGAAGTGTGTTGAAATAGCATCTTGCCCCACTTGCAAAAGCAGAAATATACTGAAGTTCCTGGTACACAAAACTGTTTCCAGTACTGACAACTACCACAGCAAAAGCAGAGTGATGCACCATACATTTCTGCAAGCATAGATCCTACTTCTAAAATACTTGGCTTAAGGTCCCTGTCTGCACTGCGGGTAAATAACTCAGATACCAGTGAAGACCATCTGGCTGCTTGTTTGAACCCATGAGCTACATACTACACCCTCCTGTCTAAAATACTCAGCGAGTAGCTCAAGTCAGTAGCTAAGACTTGATCTCTTCAAAGGTGTCAGAAATGTGAAAGCTTTGTTTCAGTAATCAAACTGCTGTGAAATGAGCCTTGTTGAAGGTATGGGTTATTTAGGCTCTCAAGTTGGACAACTTGGTTACTGTGTTGGAAATGGTCTGCTTAATTTTTCTTATAGAAAAACATAAGGAAAGGCTACCTTTTTATATTGGTCCTAGCAAGTACTTCAGAGGAAAAAAACCTATACCATTTCATTGTTCCAGTTCAACAAGTGCTAGCCCTGGAATTCAATACCAGGTCCCAGGCTTAGCAATAAAACTCATGTAAGCCCTGATGAATGTGAAAATTAATGTATTTTTATGAGGTTGTGACTAAAAATGAGGGAAAGATTTAAATGCAAGAACTGAAGTTTGACATTCAGTGGAAAAATGTTGTTCAATTTCATAATGAAACAACGCTTTCCCATCATTTCAGCAGAAGCCTTGTTGCTGGATAGCTTGTTACTAGCAACTCCTGCAGAGTGTGTTTTTTTTCTTTGGTTTTATTAATGATAAAGGCTCACTTATGTAATGGGACAAACTATTCATAAACTGTGCTAGTCTTACTGTAAAAGGCGAGAGCATCTGCCTTCCTGGAGCACTAGTACACCAAATGAGGAGCTGCTGTACAGGTAGAGGATCAGGTGCACAGGGGTGAGGGAGCTTTCATTCCCTGACTTCAGGGAGTCCTTGTGTGCCACAAAGTGCTTAAGAGCCTTTGAATTGACTGCAGAGAAAGTAATTTGTTATAATAAAAATGTTACATTGTACCTACAATATTTTTTTACCTACAGTAATTTAGGTGGAATTCTGGAACTTGTGGTCTTAAGGTTTCTTTTTTTTAATAATACTTTTTAGTGGAGATTTCTTTCATGTTCCTGAAAGACTGAGATCATCTTTCTGAAAGCCAGGACTATTTGGGTTAATAGTTCCATATTCTGAAGAACAATCAAGGAAAATAAAGTAGCATGTGGTGATCTATGCCGAGCTTACCGCTGAAGGGGAGTGGTACACTGATCTGGGATAATTTTTATTGGTGCTTTCTGTGCTCCTTTTGAGAACCAAACGCTATCAGCTCTGAGACTGGTTGATGCAAGTTGGTTTATTTTTCCTTGTAGACTTGTGAATTATGAGGCTTTTTAAATAAAAGTGTTAAATGGCTTCTGGCACCTGTATTTTTCTTATCTAACTGTTCAGTGATGTGTTGTTGCCCCTGGTGGTTGTTGGGACTTAAAGAACTTAATGTCTTGTTGAAACTTTTATTTTCAGTTTCTAATTTCTCTGTACCCTTGAGCATCTTGCTGTAAGTACTGTGGTGGACTTCTGCAGATGGTGTAATGTCCTGTGTCAGCTCACCTCCAAACACCCTTGCCTTTGCTTTCTGAGGGCTTGCAGCCCACTGACATCTTTGCTTGGGTTTTCGTTTGTGGATGTGGAGCATGGGAGCCGTCAGACTTCTGTTCCCGTATTTCCCATTCCTTCAATAAATTTCTGGTAGGATGGAGACTTCCTCTTTTTATCGCCAGCCCTTTTGCTTCCACTTCTGCCTCGGAAGGTCTCGCTGCTGTGTTTGTGCTTCAGTGTATGGCTTATAGATTCAGGTTGCTCATCAAGAGGGAAATGGGTGAAGGGAATTTTGAATTCTGAAATGCAGTTCCTTTTTGACAGAGGAAAAATCTGTTTGTGATTGTTGTGGGAGGGAGGAGGCCAGCAGCAACGGCAGCTAGCAGAGAGACTTTCCGAGCACGGGCTGCTGGCGTGTGGCTTGGCAATGCCTACGTGAGACCTCTTTGCAGTGAAATGGGAATGATTTGAACTGAAAGCTGCTTATCCTTATAAAACTGCCTTTTCTTCCCCTGCAAAGCTTCCATTAGTGGCTTCTACCCCTGCCAGCCTGAGAAGCTGTTGGTGTGGTGTGGCTTTTTTTTTTTTTTTTTTTTAAATACAAAGTTTATGGGTTGGGCTCTGCTTCTGGACTGTAGTGGTCTCATTAAATTCTGCTAGTGGATATGCACATGTGTCTGGAGATGCTTATAAAAGAGTTAGTAAATATGGTAGTAAATTCAACACAGTATTAAAATCATCTGGGCAAATTTCAGAGGGAGGTATAACTTACAAAGAATATAAATGGTGTTATCCATCCCTGCTGTTACTTCTACTGCTCACACAGCAGAATATTTTTTTAAAAAATTTATATTTTATTTTTTAAATATTTTTAAATTTTTACTTTATTTTTTAATTTTATTTTTTATTTTATAGATATGTTTGTATTATAGAAAGTGTTCATAAAGTAAGTCAAAGTAGTTCTGTGTGTTCAGTCTGGGCTCTGGCTTGCGTTAGGATATGTAAAATTGGATGGCTGAAGCAGTTACCATGTCCTGGCCATGTGCTCTGCCGTTCTGAGAGAAGCTACCACTGCTGTTGCAGAGATGACTTGAAAAACATTGATGTTTCTTAGGTTTTTTTTTTTACAAGTTCCTTAAGGTTGAATATTACGAAGAGGTTATCAACAAATGTGACCCAGCTTCTTGGCTTTTCCTACGCGTGCTTTCTTCTACCGTGTCTCTGCTGCTTCTTGGGCATATGTCATGAATGCTTTTCTGCCTCTTTTTTTTTTGTTTGTTTTGATTCTGATGCTTGTATGGATGTGGTCAGGCAGTGTCCCAGCTAGAGTGCTTGTTGTCAGCCTCTAAGACAATTACTCTTGTAGTGTTTTCTAGGTCTTCTATGGCTGGCAGCTCCTGTTGTCTTACTTTGCTTTGTCTCTGGATAATTCCTGCTCCCAGCTGGCTTCAGCAGAGGAGGGTGTCCCAGCTGTTGTGGGCAGTGATGGGTCTGCAGTTGCCTGTAGCTCAGATATGGGGTTGGAAGCAATTAGCACTTCCTAGGAACAACAATTCAAATTATATTTTTGTTGTGGTACCTGCCAAGGTCCTTATCAGGTTCTTGCACATGTAAGTTTCATACAGGTGGTCAAAGCTTGTTCCTATCCCATAATGCCTACAGCACTTAAAACAGAATGGGGTTTGACATCATGGGAGGGAAGAAATCGGAAATCTCCCTGTTCTGAGTTAGCTCTTTTATTATATTATTATATATT